TTTACTGGTGAAAAGACTCACTCCCTTTTCTTAAAGCTCTTAATTTCAGACTCTGTTTTTTTTTTCTTTTTTCCCTCAAGCAAAATTTTTATTTTACGCACTGTTGTTCTTTATCTCCCCTGTTTTACGGCAAATTCTTGCTTTCAGACTCTGTTGTATACATCAGTCTGTTGTAATATCACTTGAGTCCCGCAGTGGATTGATCGTAAAGACACGGTTCTCAGTAGAGTACCGAAGTCAAGAGTCACTGGCTGCGGTTAGTAAGCGGGTGGGTGACCACTTAGATCAGCCTTGCGTAGGGACCGAGATTAGCGGTATCGGTCCTCGTTAAACTGTTCTACCGTAAAGTGCTCGACTTTAGCGCACAGGTCGCTGGGCTACCAAAGCGTGGGAGCCATCCCCTCTGCAGAGGATCGAAATTGCGATGGCATGTCTTCAAATCATCCTCAGGAATAATTCCCAGACCGTCACCAATAGCCCATTGTGCAGCTCCAGTGCGACGTAGTTAACGCAGCTACTTACCTTACACCACTTGATCTAAAAATTCTGAATCTTGCTCATGGACCCGTCTGTTTTCAAACAATGAAGAACAGCACCAGGACACTGTTGGTTATTTTGAACGATTAGTGTTAAAATATGGGTAGGGGATTAGCTTGAGCCAAAACGAATAACGGCCAAACGAAGAATACAAATTCTGATTGTTTAGCAAGAACCGTCTGCGCTCTCATAATGCTTAATCAATAATCAATTGAGACAATCAATCGCTCCTTATCATAATCAATAATCAATTGAGACAATTAATCACTCATAAGCATAATTAATAATCAATTGGGACAATCAATCGCTCATAATCATAATCAATTGAGACAATCAATCGCTCATAATCAATAGAGACAACCAATCGCTCATAATCAATAGAGACAACCAATCGCTCATAATCATAATCTATAATCAATTGAGACAATCAATAGCTCCTTATCATAATCAATAATCAATTGAGACAATCAATCGCTCATAATCAATAATCAATTGAGACAACCCATCGCTCATAATCATAATCTATAATCAATTGAGACAATCAATAGCTCCTTATCATTATCAATAATCAATTGAGACAATCAATCGCTCATAATCAATAATCAATTGAGACAACCAATCGCTCATAATCATAATCTATAATCAATTGAGATAATCAATAGCTCCTTATCATAATCAATAATCAATCGAACCAATCAATCGTTCATAATCATAATCAATTACCTGCGAAATGGAGAGTTGAATGTTTCACACTCCACTCTGTGAAAAAGGAATACTCACATTTCACGAACTTTTCTTCGTTTTTGATGAAACCGTTTCTTGGTATATGGTTTGAGCGAACATTTCGTAAAAGTGACGAAATAACTATCGTCACTTCTTTGAGGAAACGAATTTCGTAAATAGTTAAGAAATATTATGTCATACTATTTTTTTTCAAAGGAAAAAAAAAACTAGCGTCTAATGTATCCAGCTTTTCCAATACTAATTTTATTTTGGATACTATACAGTTGGGTCAATGTCACCTTAATAACACAAAAAAGACATATGGAACAGAGAGATAAATTACAACCATGCCAAAAGTGGGATCCAAGAGTTGGTAAAAAAAAAAACGCAAATTTAAAAGTCAGATTAACTTGGTATTGACTGTTAAATAAATTTTAGAATTAAAAAAAAACTCAAGTTAATTCATTTTTATTTTTATACATAACCTAACTGAAGGAACCTATAAAAATGTTTATAACAAAATGTAAGTTTGTAATTTATTCGTATGTGTTGCATTACTTTTTAAGTTTATATCACTCGGTCTTACTTACATAAAGAAGAAAATGATATTTGCGTAAAATTTCCACGAGCGAATGAAATAATATTTTTACGTTTTTCTACAGTTTTGAGTATGTTGGAAAAAGATGAAAAGGCAAGCCTCATTTTTTTCTTTAGATATTACAACTAAACCTAAAGGTTAACCACCTCTGAAATAAAAACTTTAGTTTTTTTTTCCTTTATATTTTTGTGGATATAAGTAGTAGTAAGCCTGTAGATCATTTATCTAGAACATTGTTCCTAACCTATTATGACTAATTCGCCACTTTTAATTATTGTTTGTTTTTCATTAATATATATATATATATATANTTAAACTTTGGGATCGAGTCAATCAGTCTGGGATCCTCTTTATTTGTGATGTTCACCTGAATTAGTATCGAAAATGATCCGGTTTGAAATGTAGGTTAAAATTATATATATATATATATATATATTTGTTCAGGTTTTAATTATTTCTAAACAAGATCCAATTATTTAACTTATTATTATGGTATTATGACAATTTAACATGTAATTCAACATATAATGGTCAACAACAGAAAAATAGAAAATTATGATTTACAAATAGCATACATTAACTATAAGTTTCAAAGCAAATTATATTTTATGAAAACAGCAGAAATGAAAATCGTACCTCTTGTACATTCTGAAAATTCTTGTATTTGTACGATCGAGTCCTGTAAATAACTTTCAAATAAATATTAAAAATATTTAATTGCTTAAAATTTAAAATAAAATATTGCATGCCAGTTAAATGCCTTTAAAATTCTAGTGTAACTGAGTACATATAATGGTGGCAGCTACTTTACTGCGAGATAGTGTAGCAAAACATTTTTAGTGTTTCCTTACACAAGGAATTATCCTCGTTTCTTGGTGCATATGAACACGTATTGGACACACCACTTTGTAAAGTAGTTTCCACTATATTTAGTGTTCTTTAGATTCACGGTGTTGTTTAGATTCAAGAAAATATTTTATAGTGCATGAGCCTGAAAATATTTAAGTAATAGGCGAGGTAGTGTAAAAAAAAAACAAAAACATTTTTAGTATTTCCCTGCGCAAGGAATTATCCTCGGTTCTTTGTGAATATGAACACGCATTGGACACACCACTTTGGTGTAAAGTAGTTTTCACGACATTTAGTGTTCTTTAGATTCACGGTGTTGTTTAAATTCAAGAAAATATTTTACAGTGCATGAACCTGAAAATATTTATATCAGGGCTTGGAAAAAATCTGAAATTTTACCCATCTCTGAGGACGGCTTGTCCAACAATGTACCCGTCCTCCTTTGAAACTAAGTTCAAATATATAAAAGTATAAATAAAAATATAATTTTCTTTTTTATTACAAACATTTATAAAAATTGCACAATGAATTAGTTGTTGCTAGGATTACATTATACAGTAATAAAAGAAATACTAGATTACTAATTGTAACCTAGTATTTGTTTTATGAAATAATTTCTTTCTTTCATGAAATAATTTAAATGACAAAGGGCAAGTTATCTGGAATGTCAATTTATCCGAGGGTGTTGCGTTTTTTAAATGAATCAAATATGTTTGCCAGTTTCACAATCAAGCCAATGACTTACAGAGGTTTCTGCCCAGAAATCTGAAAGGGGTTTTCCATTTAGATACATGTTCATAATTGCGTTTAACGCTTCTTGTTTAAGACCAGTACGTAATGTGTTTTTTTGTAAGTTCATTGCTGAAAAGCCCATTTGAACAGCTGCAGTACTCCCAGACAGAGAAAACATCAATTCTAATAACAAATATTGAAAATGTATCACGAACATTAACCGAAAAATGGCCGTCCGCACTGATGTCGGATTCGAGAAATTCGTTGTCCGCGGGGAATTTTTGACAGCCGAGGACGGGCGGTTTTTCGAGCCCTGATTTATATAATGGCGCCCGTGGCTGAGCGGTAGCGCTTCGCGCGGTCGTGCCACAGGTTCCTGGTTCGATCCTCAGGCCCGGCCAGGCTGACTCAGCCTTTCATCCCTTCAGTGGGTCGATAAATGAGTACCACACATGCTTGAGAACTAAACACTTGGGGTTCCGCGTTCGGCTGAACACCTGACCAGAACATCTGCTCCTGCACCCCAGAGCCCAAGATCAAGAAAACTGAGATGAGCACAGTAGGCCTTGGCCCTCTATGGGCTGTCACGCCACTGAATTTAGTTTTCTAGATTTATATAATAGGCGAGGTAGTGTAAAAAAAACAAAAAACATTTTTAGTGTTTCCCTACACAGGGAATTATCCTCGGTTCTTGGTGCATATGAACACGTATTGGACACACCACTTTGGTGTACAGTAGTTTCCACTTTATTTATTGTTCTTTAGATTCACGGTGTTGTTTAAATTCAAGAAAATATTTTACAGCGCATGAACCTGAAAATATTTAAATAATAGGAATTGAGCAGGAAGATTTTGTACTAATCTTTGATTAGTACTAATCTTCGATTTTGTACTAATCTTTGATTAGTACAAAATCTTCATAGGCTCGTTAATTTCAACTCTACAGGTCTGGTTGGAAATATGAAGTAAACCACGGCTGAAATAGATTAATCAAAGACAAAAAGTTTTGATACTTGTGTGTAATTAAAATAAGAAAAATATGACATGAATTTCTTAAATGAGAAAAAAAAATTGTACATGATCATAACTTACACGCAAGGAGTATTGCTGCATTTTTTCAAACAAATATTTTGATTTTCTTCTGTTATTTTTTTATCTAAAAAAATAATAAAGCTTCTTCAGTGTAGTGTGTCATAAAAGATATGGTTTTAAAAACTATTCACTTGGTTTCTTAAAAATGTTTTTTTTTTCAAAACGAAATATTAAAAATAATGTTGAAGGCATCTTTTTTTTCCGATTTAGAGAGAATTATTAAACTTAAATATAATTTAAACATATTATTCTGATGAGAGTGTCTAAATATTAGATTAGCAGCTAAATTTCAGCCGTTTTTTAATTTTTTTAATTTAGTAAAAGTATTAAGTGTAAGCGCTTTCTTTTTTTTACGACAGTTTCCTTGTCATTTTGACGCAAATTTTCGTGCAAAAAATAGTTTAATCGCTTTTCATCCAATTCAACTTGACGAATAAATTAAGGTGCATCATTGCTCTCAAAATATCATTTAACTTTTTCGGGTTTTCTTCCAAATATCGTAATTCTTCATGGGAGAGAATATGTTTACACCCTTTTCAGACACCTAGCAACAAAGAGAAAAAATGAAAATTAGGGTTAACAATGAACTTTTTGACAAAATTTCTTTTAAATAGAAGAAATTTCTCTTTTCTTCTTTTATGTTAAAACACTTTTAATACACCTAGAAAGAGAGAAGAAGATAAAAATTTCGTTTAACAATGGAGTATTTGACAAAATTTCTCTTAAATATCGTAGCTCTTATATGAAAGAATCTGTTCAAACTCTTTTCAAACACTCGGAAAAAGAGAGGAAAACGGTAAAAATTTCTTTAAAAAAATGGAAAATTTCTCCTAAATACCGTAGTTCTTTTTTGAGAGAATCTTCTTAAATACTTTTCTTACTACTTGCAACAGAAGAGAAAATGACAGAAATTTTCCTAAATAAGGTATTATTTTGTGAAGTTCATATATCATTATGAATCCGTTTAAATTTTCAGTCAACTAGCAATAGAGAGAAAGGTATTGAAAATCTCGCTGAACAGTGGTATATTGGACGAAGTTTCTTCTAAATAGTGTGTTCTTTTCTGAGACCATCCGTCCAAACTCTTTTTATACACATAGCAACAGAGAAGAAATTGATTGAAATTTCCTTGAACGATGGATTGTTTTCCAAAAGTTCTTTTAAATAGTGTGTTCTCTTGTGAAAGCATCAGTTCCAACTCTCAAGGTAGGAATAGTACCTTCTTTAAGAAAATTGATAAAATTTTCCCTGAAGAATTTCAGTAAATTTCCTCCAAATATTGCAGAGTGTTCCTATTTGAGAGAGAATTCTACCAAAATCCTCTCAGTTACATAACCAAGGAGTGGAAATTGATAAAATTTTCCCTGAAGAATTTCGGTAAATTTCCTCCAAATATTGCAAAGTGTTCCTATTTGAGAGAGAATTCTATCAAAATCCTCTCAGTTACATAACCAAGGAGTGGAAATTGATAAAATTTTCCCTAAAGAATCAGTAAAATCAGTAAATTTCCTCCAAATATTGCAGAGTGTTCCTATTTGAGAGAGAATTCTTCCAAAATCCTCCCAGTTATATAACCAAGGAGTGGAAATTGATAAAATTTTCCCTAAAGAATTTCAGNCTTAGTTGAATGAGTAGAACACAATTATTAATTTTGTTCCAAAACACTTCTAAATCCAAGGCTTTAAGTGAATTTTATTTTTCCTACAGCTTTCTAGACCTTCATTCTTAAATGCACCAAAATACCACCGTATCTATCCATACTCACAGCTCTCTAAATGTATAATGGTTCTCGAATAATTAGTTCATTAATAAGTAATTTAATACTATAAAAATATAAATGAATGAATGAAAAAGTGAAGGAGTATACCGGTTTAAGTAAAGAGCTTAGAAAAATGATATTCAAGTAAGGGCTCGAAAAAACTCTGAAATTTTACTCGTCTCCGAGGACGGCTTGTCTAGCAATGTACTTGCCCTCCTTTGAAACTAACCCGTAGCTTATAAATAAATAAAAATTTAATTTTCTCTTATTTATTACAAACATTTATATAAATTGCACAATGAACTAGTAGTTACTAGGATAACAAATACTAGGATAACATTATACAGTAATAAAAGAAATACTAGATTACTATTAGTAACCTAGTATTTCTCTTATGAAATAATTTAAATGATAAAGGTCAAGTTATCTGGAATGTCAATTTATCCGAGGGTACTGCGTTTTTTAAATGAATCAAATATGACGTTTGCCAGTACCACAATAAAGCCTATGATTTACAGAGGTTTCTGCAGAGAAATCTGAAAGGGGTTTACCATTTAGGTGGATGTTCATAATTGAGTTTAACGCTTACGTAATGTGTTTTTTTGTAAATTCATTGCTGAAAAGTCCCTTTCCCAGACGGAAAAAACATCAATCCACCATGCGCAGTATGTTGCTGTACGGGATTTCTAGATTAGAGGGTGATTTTAGAAGTGAGGCGCTAGACTCTTGTAAGATAACAAAATTGAAAATGTATCACAAACATTAACTGGAAAATGGCCGTCCGCGTGGACGTCTGATTCGAGAAATTCGTTGTCCGCGGGAAATTTTTGACCGCCGAGGACGGGCGGACGGGCTGTTTTTCGAGCCCTGACTACACTGGAATCGAAAACATATAACTGCCTTATTCATGAGTCTGTCAAAACTTCACTGGAATCGAACACTGGAATTGAATGGAACTGGAATAGTAGCATATTGTCCTATAATAATATGTAAACTATATAAGTGTCCAGATATTTTATTAATTGGGATACCTAATTTTAATATATTTTCTTATTTATATTTGTAATAGCAATTTTTTTGTATATATTATCACTAGGAAACAAAAATCTTAAATGCTAATTACTAAGAAATAAATTTTTCAAATAATAATCGAAAAGTTACACTTGCTCCAAAATATTTAAAATCAAGGCGTTATAATTAAAACACAACTTTTATTATTACTTTTATTATTTTATCATAACTTTTATTTTTGAAGTTCAGGATTTTCTTTTCTTTGACCTTGTACGTTTTTTTCTACTTTTCTGTTTAAAGTTACGAGACGGTATCATTTTCAACGGCGAAATTAAAAGTTCTTTAACGTATAAGCAAAAAAACATGTAACATAATGCTTTTATTCACGTAGAGATAAATTCTTCCAGTACATTTTATAATTCATTTGATGTCATTTCTGGTATTTTCTGAAATGAAACATGGAAAATTGCGTTTTCTAATTTTGTGCTTCATAATAATTCTTGCCGGTCGCTATCGCGCAAGCTCATATTTGACTACCATTGTCACATTTTTGCAATCAAATTAGTGGAAAATCACCTCAAAATAAATAAAAAAATATAGAAAACATTGAAAGTATTGAAATAAGTTTGAAAAAGATGCTAGTAACATGCGAAACTATTTATTTTTAAAGCGAGAAGTTCCGCCGTGACGTCACTGACTGAAATCAGAAGCTCGGAGCGGCACGAGTCTCTTCAAAGGAGTGACCTAGCCCTTCTGTTCTCTCTTTAGCCCTGTCCCGCAGTGGACTGATCGTTAAGACACGGTTCTCATCAGATCACCGAAGTCAAGCATCACTGGCTGCGGTCAGTGTGCGGGTGGGTGACCCACTTGGATCAGTCTGCGTAGGGACCGAGGGTGTGCGGTATTGGTCCTCGTTAAACTGTGCTACCGTAAAGTGCTCGACTTCGCGCGCAGGTCGTTGGGCTACCGAAGCGGGGGTGCCATCCCCTCTGCAGAGGATCAAAATTGTGATGGCATGTCTTCGGATCATCCTCAGGGATGTTTCCCAGACCGTCGCCAATAGCCCATTGTGCAGCTCTAGTGCGACGTAAATCAACAACAACAACAACTCTCTTTAGCCCTTATTATAACTACTACATAACTTTTCTACTACGATTAGTTTTATTCTTGGTTGCAAACTAGCTCCTTCTACAACACCAGATGTTCCATCAGATAAAATTAAAGGCCTGGTTTCTGAGGAAACGTCGGCGTCAGCTTGAAACGAACGTTTACCTCTGATTGGTCAATTTATGAGTTTGACAGCATACGTCAGCGAACGCTCAGCTTGAACGACAACTGCCGTCCAAATCAACTGCAGTTGGATTACAACGTGACGTTAACAACAGAAGCAATGGCGGACAACAGCCAACAACAGATCATTGAAATCAGCAAAGATTTTAATTTTAACATTAAACACAGCTTTTTTTTCCTCTTCTTCCTTATTTAGCTAAGCTATAATGTGTTTTTTCTTGGACAAAGTCATTATTTGTGCTTTAAAGCACTGGTCGATAATCACAAAATCAATACAAATTCAAAATAAATATTTGTTTACGTCATTAACGCATGCGCAATGCGAGATAATGTCTGTGTTGGACCGACTGCTCACGCTGAGCTACAAAACGGTATTTTTATGGCGTCAGAATTATATCAACTTAAAGTTGACGCCCAGTTAAGACGCTTCTCTTAAGAAACCAGGCCTTGAGCTAACAAACCAGTATTTTGTTGGCATCAGGGTAACGTCAACTTAACGCTGACACCCAGATAAGGCGCTCGTCCTAAGAAACCAGGCCTTAAGATAACAAGCAAGCACATATACAATGGGTTTCAATCAAGTTTAGTCTTGATGGCGCAATGCAATAAATCACCCTATATAATTACGGAGGTTGTGCAACTAAGCCATACCATTAAGTCCAAGTTTTCATCTGTACTTTCTACAGGATTAAACAATGTGCAGTTCGTATCATAAGGATAGGGTAAGAGATGTTGCTCTACCTGTGAAAGAAAGCTAAGTTAGAATTTTAAAGAATACTTTTGGTTGTGCGGAAATGAATGACATAAAATCTACTAGAGGGTGGATTTTAATTTATTAAAAAAAAAAATTAACTGGATAGTTAGGAAAAAGGTGGCAAATATGCGAGAGTTCTGTTATGTTCAAGACTCTACAATCCCTGATGGCCAAATTATTAAACTCACCATAAGATTCTATGTAAAATCCTAATTATCAGGTGATACTATACAGCTTTATTGTTCTGATGCCGCTGAAACCGGTTTGCACTTGTTTCGTTCGCGTATCAATTGATTAACATTGTAGTGCGACACGTTAGAAATAAATATAATTAGGAAGTATATAAAAAATCTCCCGAATAAAAATCCATTACACGTATGTTTAAATATACTAAAAGTATTGCATCTAAACTCTTGCAAAACACGTAATTATTAAAAAACCACAGTTTCTCTAATAATTTGGTCTAATTATTATAATATACTAATATAATACCTGATATAATAAATATTCTATAGTTATATTATATATCGTTTAATTCAACCAATTGAAACACGAACGTAACAACAAGTAACTAAACGTAAAAGAACGTAAACATGTGCAAACCGGTTTCATCCGCGTAAAAACAATAAAGCTGTGTAGTATCACCTGATAATTAAGATTTTACATAGAATCTTATAGTGCGTCTAATAATAATTTGACCAGAAACTGTACTGAAGGGAGAAAAGACGCATGATCTATTGTAGAAAAATAGACGCATGATCTATCTTTTAAATGGTTATGCTAGATTATGTTATAAAAAGATATTTCAATTTTTCAGAAAAATAAAGGTTCTTATCTGTAGAACTGAAACGATAGTATGTTCTTTCATTCGTGCTTTATTTATGCTGGTTTTCAATTTAGTTTAGGAATCACTGGATTTTAATATCGAAAACAAAACTCACATAATCAGTAACTTGTATTTCATGATATCCGGGTACTTGAAGTTTGATACCGTGTCTGAATGGATTAACGAGTCTTCTGGAATCGTGTATAGCTAAATAAAAGGCTGGCGCAACGCTTGGATCAAGATATTCATCCCACTTGGATCTTAAATTAAAGACAATATCTGCGAAATAAAATATTTCATTATTTTCATTTTAAAATAAATAACATTTGTTGCACATTTTATTTCTTAGGATGAGAGCAAGATTTTTTGAATAAGATAATAGGCATACATAACATAAATAGATTGTATCAGCTTTTATTTAATCCTTCGCGGTCGTGTATATATATATATATATATATATATATTCTATACAATG